TGTGTGTGTGTGTGTGTGTGTGTGTGTGTGTGTGTGTGTGTGTGTGTGTGTGTACATCAGGACAAAGTGCTGTTAGGCTGACAGTGACCGTGAATGCTTAGGTTTCACACTTGAGTCAGGAGACAATAAACAATTAGTTATCACCTTCAGCCTACAATAAAAAAAACAGATAAGAAAAGGTGCTCTCAGCCAAACTGCACCCCCTCCCTCCACACACACCACCATCATCGCCACCACCAGAAGAATGTGATCAGTGCCTGGGAGGCTCTGAGAGATAGATAAACTCCTGCAAGTAGTAAAAACAAGCTTTTAAAAACGAGAAGACCATATTGTCTGGTGACTTGTACAAAAGTTCAGAAAAAGACTTTCCTGTAGGCCAAACACGACACATCAGTGTGTCTTTATATTCCATTCTGTCAGTCACATAATAAAATCACATTCACCTATGATGGGCTGCATCAGTGTAAAAAAGTGAGAAGGAAAATCTTGCTTGTTCGATGCATTGTGTGATGGCCTCAACRTTAAAGGGTGGGGTTGGGGGCTCTTTAAGAACCTCCTACTATGTCCTACACTCCCACTTTAGCACATCTTCACAACGATGCTTTGGAGGAGGGGAGTTCTGGACGGGAGCTTGTTTGCACACTGACCTCCAGGGGAGGAGCTTTGTGTAAATAGGCGGTGCTTTGTACCAGCAAGTATTTAGGCAGCTCTACATGGCTACCACAGGAGATTCAAGGATTTATCAAACATGCATGAATGAATCAAAGAAACACTCTGAGCATGTTTTTTGATGAGGGAATGACATTGTAACAGGACATAAAGCAAAAAAAAATGTTAATTTTGCACAATAACCTCCTTTAATATGGATTTTTACTGTAAAGAAATAAAATTAACAAATGTCAGCAAAACCTTAATTCGTTCAACCTTAGATGTCAATACAGTAATTCTGTATAATTTGTTGCAATTCAGTACAGGATATTGATTGAACCTAACAGCAATCTGGATGAGAATTTTTACATTTTGTTATATTTAATCCAACTTCTTATGTCAAAGTAAGAATTAACTGTAACTAGTTTTCAAAAAGAAAAAAAAATAGGTCCGTCCTCTGGATGGGTTCTTCTTTAGTAAAATGTTTCGTATCTCCTCCAAGAGACTTCTTCAGTCTGAGTTTCACTGCCTCCACCTTGACAAACAGGTTAGTCATATGCAAAACAGGGCCATCCACTAACAATAGGCTTGATTGTCTCTATTGTTCATAGAGGGTCATGTGCCCCATCACCTGACCTGTYRTGTTATGTGAATGTAGTGAATGCAGGCGGGGCTAAACATCCCCTTGTTTTTGTCCCTTTCTCCTTCTTTGTGTTGGTTATCGTTGGGACCCTGATTCACACCTTTTGCTCACAGGTGGCTGAGTCATACTTGCAATAACAGCGTTGTAGGAGGAGGACAAATAGACACGAAGGCCTCCACCTCTGTTTAATGATGGACGGTTTTTCTTCACAAAGATGGCTTCCTTTACTCCTCCCTCAAACTAACGTTCCTCTCTTTCAAGGATGAGAACATCTTCATCCCTGAAAGAGTGACCGCTGGCCTGTAAATGAGTGAAAACTGCAGAGTCCTGACCCGACGATGTAGCTCGTCTGTGCTGGCTCATTCTTTTGAACAGAGGATGTTTTGTTTCCCCAATGTATAACTGATCACAGTCCTCCTGACACTTAACAGCATATACTGTATTACTCTGTTTTTGCCGGGGAACTGGAYCTTTGGGGTGAACTAATCTTTGTTGTAACGTGTTTTGGGGTTTGAAAGCCACTGGGACGTCACGTTTAGAGAATAAACATCTCAGTTTCTCTGAAACTCCTGCCACATGTGGAATGACGACTGGTTTGGGTCTGCGTTTAGGGTCTTCATTTTCAGCTGGTCTTTGGCTGGAATCCTGTTTGGGTTTCTTGTCTGCTTTCAGAAAAGCCCAGTCAGGATAACCGCACTGCTCCAGGGACTGTCTTGTGTGTGATTTCTCTTTCTCCCTGGCTCCTGTATTTGTGGGGACACTGTCTGCTCTGTGGTACAGAGTTCTGATGACTCCTAACTTGTGTTCCAGTGGGTGATGGGAATCAAAGCGCAAATACTGGTCTGTATGGGCGGGTTTGTGATACATGTCAGGAAATGTAACTAGTTTTGATTAATTCAATTCAATTCAATTCATTTATATAGTGCCAAGTCACAATTGTCATCTCAGAGCACTGTACACAAAAAAACAATAAAGCAAAAGAAACCAGCAGATTGTGATGAACCTTCACTTTGTCACAGTTTCTCATCCTGAGCAGCACATTGGCAACAGAGGAAAAACTCCCTTATTCCATTAAGATCATTGAGGATAACAYGTATTGGTGTTTCTGTATTGTTGTTTTGTTATTGCTTGGTTTTACATGTTTGATTAGCTTATTGCTCTTGTTACCACAACTTTGTATTTCATGGTTCTGTGTCTGATTCTGTTAAGATCATCTTTGTTTTGCTCCTTTTTGTTTTATGTTTTATTACCTTATATTTCTTTAAGCTGTTCCCAGGCAGTTTCTGACACTTTGTTAGGAAATGTACGAGTTTTCTTTTCTCTCTCTTTTTTTTTCTTCTTTTTACAGAAACAAGAACCCAGGTCCTGCTCCTGGGTTTTAAGAAGAACTGAAAATCAACCTTTACCCAAGGAGGCTGACACATTGTTGTTCTTTATAACCTTGTCCAGCTCATAAACATGTCTTAGTTCTTCCTTAAATCTCTTGAGACGGTGCTGAGAGGGAGATTAAACTCACATGCAAGAGATCATACAAATGAGTCATGTTGGAGGAGCTAAACTGTCCAACTTTACAACAAGAATGGACTGCAGGTACCAATAGTACCAGCAGTGACACATTCATTATCTATTTATTTCCTGTACCTGTTTTACCTCTGCAGGGTTGCCAGGATTACTTGGATCTATCACCTGTCACCAGACTCAGCTCTAACTAAATCACATTGCTGAGCTACAACGCCACGAGTAAAATGTAAATCCTGTACATGTTCTGTGTTCCAGACAAGATCCAATCTAGAAGAATAATCTGCAACTTGCAAAGCAGGTGAAATTAAATCACAGCTGCACAGTTTCCTAACTGAACAGATCAATAAGTCTTTTAAATGAATAGTTTTTGAGGCATTCTGTGAGGCTGTCACCTGTTTTGCTCCTGCCTGGTCTCTCATTGGTCGCCAGTTCCACCGCAGCTGCAGCAGATTTGAATCCTCAGCTCTCATGGGTTCTTCTCTTCAGAAGATCAGATCCTCGCTGAGTTATACTGCCCTGTCTGTGCCTGATCTCGTCTGATCTTGGAAGCCAAGCAAGGTCGGGCCTGGTTAGTCCTTGGAAGAAGATCCTCGCTGATGCATCGCTTGCTCTTGGGTGAAGCACCTCAGCCTTTTAGAGATTAACTTACCTGAGTTTTGCTAAACCTCTGTTGCTTGTTAACTTACCTGTGTACAGAGCAAAGACCTCCTGAAGTAATCTTTGGACTATCCTCACTGTGAACCTGCCGATAACCTACCTGAGAGCCACTGCTGCCTGTCTGCCTCCGACCAATCACCTGTAAAATACTCACCTCCTCACCTTGGACCTTCTCCGCCRAGCCGCTCCCTCTCTGCACCTGTGAGAAAGAACCTGTTAATCAGTTGTTTTCTAATCTCATCCACAAGAACAAATACTCACCTAGCTCCTCCTCCTTTACAGCTCTGGATTTCCCACCGACCCACCTGTAGAGACCTATTTCACAAAAGTCAGATTTCTAATTTCAGGATACGAGCAGTAAGCTGAGCTTGAACTAGCCTTCAACTTGTAAACAGCCGTAATCAGTTGCTCTAACACCAAGCCGCGCTCAATTAGGGAGGTTCATTCAAGTCAGGTGTAAATAATCTGGGAATAATGCACGTTCACGGTTTGCTTACTAGACCCATCAGGTGGATCAAAGATTTCCTGATCAGGCATGCGCAGTAAGACACGTGAGTCTCACCTCTTCCAGCTGTTTAATGGTTAATTATGATTCATATGAAGAGAAACACCAACTGATGCTGAAATAATTTCAAAAGTAAAAACTTTTTGTGTCACTGAATCTGTTTGTAAGTTTAACAAAATGAACAAAAATAAAATGAACAGCTGATTGTTCACTTAAAATGATCGCTGCAGGAAAAGACGAGAGACGGGGGTGGGGGGTTGGGAGGGGTTTCATCTGAAACTCATCAGACTGAAGAAGTCTCTTGGAGGAGAGACGACATGTTTCACTAAAGAAGAACCCATACCTACTTATTTTTTCTTTTTGATTTTTTTCTACCTGGATTACTGAGATGCATCAGGGTAGTTTATGCTCTATTGTCACAGATTACATTACATTATTTACACAGATTACAGTACAAGCGTGTGACTGATTGGTCATCTGTTACCTCAAGAGGAAAATCAACTCAAAAAATCTAACTGATAAATGTGAGTTTTTGTAAAGGATGTGATACAATTTTACCTTGGTATTTTAAACAGGGCTCTCATTGGATGGAGGTCAGACAGAGGTGGATCTCCATCTCCCAGTTCGATAGCAGTGATGCCCAGGGACCAGACGTCACAGCGGGCATCATATGTTGAGTCCAGCTGCTGCTCACATGCAATCACCTGCAAAGAGCAGATTGCCAAATAGAAACAAAATCACTACCACCCGATAACACATAACTCTAAACCTTTAGTTTGACCTTAAACATATCTTTTTAAAGTTGAACTGAACGTAAAATTGAGCCCAGCAGCTCAGTCAAAACCAAAGATTTAATATCATACCCCGTGAGCAATGCACTGCACACGCTCAGAGTCAGTCTATTATAGTTGTCCTGAGGGCAACATGGTACCCAATCTAAACTATGAATCATCTGAGTGGGAGGCATGTGTTCACACAACCAAACGTATGCTAACACACACACACACAAGCCTGCCATTATTGTGAAATGTCGGACATCGATAGAATCTGTGTCCGCTGTTCTCATGAGGCATAAATTTAAACACACCAACAAAATGATGAGAAATCATCAACAAGATGCACATGAAGCACATCCACTTCACAGCAGAAACACGCACGCTCATGTTTCGTTTCAGGATCTGTAAAAACAACAAAGTCTGCACTGATTTCATTCAAAGGGAGTCTAATTTGCAAAAGAAAACAAATTCATCTAAAGAAAACGCAGGCATGTTTACCCTAAATAGAAAGACGTGCAGTTAATAGAGCCTAACTGCAGCTTCATGCTTACATTTCATCAAAAAAAATGTTAAACAGAAATATACGACTCACCTGAAAACTAAAGATTTCACAACCAAATATTCTTCAGAATTAAGGGTTTGGTTCAGTTAAACATCCACAATATCCAGGTTTCTCTAATAAAAATTTAAAAATATATATATAAAAAAAGAAGGAAACAAATATAAAAAACTGCAAAACAAACAAATCAGAGGTTTTCTATTCCTGTTTCGAGTGTTGATCATTGTTTATAAATTGAGCTCCTGATACTGACGGACTTTTCAACTGGAGCTTGAAGCAGTGTCCTTTCCCAGAATTTTGTTGATTAACTTTGCAAATGAGAAWAAAATCCTTAAGTGCCTACTATGGAGCAGAATATTAACTAATTTGCAAGGCATGCAAACCAGATGTAAACATATTTGTTTTGATTTGCGAATTACAGAGGTTATACTCCACCTATTGCACAAAAAATACTGGCAAAAGGCACCAGTTCTCTGTGACCCTGAATGAAAAAGGGGGTAAAAATTGGATGGATGGATGGATGGATGGATGGATGGATGGATGGATGGATGGATGGATGGATGGATGTTTGGGTGCATAGAGTGTAGCTGCTGTACATGACAATACAGTATATTTTAACTCAAGGTTTAAATCACTGCTCTGTTGTACTTTCACCAAAAGTAATAATAAGTAAGTAAGTAAGTAAATAAAGTTTTATTTATAAAGCGACTTTCACAGAAATACAGTATATTCACAAGGTGCTGTACAATTATTAACAATGTAAAAATTGTGGAAAAATAAAATGAAACTAAAACATAAAGCAACGTAATGAATCATCAAATCAAGATTAAATTCTAAAATTGTGACTCAGACACATGGTCAATGCAGAGCAAAATATACAATAATACAAAAAAACATAGAGAATGGGGAGAGAAAAATATGCCGCATGATTCAATAATAGAAAAACACGTAGTTGGCAAGCATTCACTATGGTGATAGGCTGGCATTAATGGTGAATGGTTAGCTAAATGCTTGAGTAAAAAAGTGTGTTTTTAGATGTTTATTGAAGGAGACAATGTTATCAAGGGAGTGCAGATTAACAGGGAGTTCACTCCAGAGCCTGGGGGCCACAGAGGAGAAGGCACAGTCACCACAGGTCTTAAAGCGAGTGAGGGGAACCATAAGGAGATTTACATACTGTGAACGGAGGTCCTGTCTGGGGCTGTAAGGGGAAATGAGACTTTTAATGTATTCTGGGGCTTGGCCATGAAGAGCTCTGAAAGTGAGGACCAGGATTTTGAACCAGATTCTGAATTGAACAGGAAGCCARTGAAGTTCTGCTAGGATCGGGGACATATGGGTGAATTTGGAGGTTCCAGTTAGGAGTCTTGCTGCCGAATTTTGGACAAGCTGAAGACGATTTAACTGTTTCTGGTTAAGACAGGTGAACAAGCTATTACAATAGTCTATGTGGCTAGAAATGAAGGCATGAATAACCATCTCCAAGTCTGAAGTGGACAACAGGGACCGGAGTTTAGAGATACTATGAAGCTGAAAGTAGCATGTGGAAACTAAATTCTTTATGTGTTTATCTATAGACAGATCTGAGTCAAGATTTACTCCCAGGTTGCGCACATTCTGCTGGACAGTTGAACTCAAGGAGCCGAGATGTTCTTTTATCTTAGGGGTTTTATGTTCAGGGGCCAGGATCAAGGTCTCTGTCTTGCTGAGGTATAAGAGCAGCAAATTGTCAGACAGCCAGTGTTTAACTTTAGTGACACAATTTATGAGAGAGGTTAGCTTGTGAGTGGTGGAGTCATCAAAGGAGCAGTATAGCTGCAGGTCATCTGCATAGAAGTGGAAGGAGATGTCTGGGAAATTTTTTGATGACCTCACTCAGGGGGTGGATGTAGAGCAGGAATAGAATTGGGCCCAGGATGGAACCCTGTGGAACTCCGCAGGTGAGTTTGGCTRAGTCAGAGAATGGCTGGCCTAATAAGACTGAGAAAGAGCGGTCTGAGAGATATGATTTGACCCAGTCCAGCACAACCCCGGATATCCCTATGTCTTTCAGATTACGAAGGAGAATAGTGTGATCAACAGTATCAAAGGGTGTTATGTGACATGGAGCCTGGGACGGTCGAGTTGAGATGCTGCGCCTGATGATCTCAAGTTTGAYGACAAAGTGTGTTAGAAAGTTGTTGGGACTGGCAGGTGAACGGACGGTGGGAGAGGAAACGATTGGGGAAACCAATGCCGAATAAGGCTCTGGGGTTTTTCTTAAAGCGGGAGACTGAGCAAAGTGTTGAGACCTGGCATTTTTCATCATGGTCTGCAGTGATAATCTAAGCTCTCTAAGGTGAAGCCTGTGCACTTCTAAACGGGATAACTTCCACAGACGCTCTGCCTGCCTACATTTGCGTCTAGCAGAGCAGATGGTCTCATTTATCCAAGGAGTAGGTGTTTTAATTGTAGAGGTTTTAGTGGTTGAAATAATTCCTATATTATGAAGGAAGGTTCTGTGAAGTAGCTATCAGAAAACCTAACAGAGGCTCAAATGAACAATATGATTTAGATTTTTGGCATCAGTGAACAATTATTCAGTTTTTGTTTTTCTGCGAATGGATTTCACCTTAAAAAGTCTGGTTTCTATTAATACATGCTCAAGTTTTATTATCTTTTTTCTGTTAAGCATTTGACTAGGATAGCTTTATGAAGTTAAATGATTACTATAAAAAGGAATGAGATATTGCTTTAATGTGAAACTTAGAAAAGCTTTTCCAATTTGATAAACATAAGCACAAAAGATCAAAATGTACATTTTTTATACATCAAAGTGCATTTAAATAGGAAATAAATTTTTAGAAGATAGAATTACCTTGTTTTTGTACAACTAAAGTAAATAATACTAAAGTATTAAATATATTTTCAGAATACTCAAAGCATGTCATGCCCTCACAGGACACAGGTATATCATTTTACTACAAAACAGAATAAAGTGACAAGACGATGCAATGACATAAATTGGTCATTCTGTTATGCATCCATTTCAGTGTAAAGGGTATATTTTGTGTAGTTGCAGTGAGCTGTGATCAGACAGGAGATAAATGATGGCGGCTGCTCATCCCACTTCCCCCTGCACATTGTATTTGATGGTGTTATCTCTTTGATGATTATGGACTGAACTGCCCACTGGGATCTGCTCCAGGCTAATGTAGTGGAAAAAGAGGGGGATGAGAGCGCATTTATGGGCCGTTATGTCGGCGTACCTCAGGAGCCATCCAGAAGGGAGTTCCCACAGAGGTGTTCCTCCTCAGACGGGTATTTGTCAGCTGGGCTGAAACACCTGCGGGGAGGAGAATACACACTTCAGTCATTTTCCAGCTTCACTCTCAAGGCTCAGTGGAGATAATTCACCGCATCTCAACAACATCATTGACATGTTTTTATTTTTATTCTTTTTTATATACAAGGATCAGAGTTACAGGTAAGGGTGATGATCTGTGAAAAGCACAACAGTGAATACAGAAACAGCAGGACTCTGATATGAGCCCAAATGGATTCCAGAACTTCCTTGTAGTCCACTGATAGATTTGTCATTGTAGTGATAAGAAAATATATACTGTATTCAGACAGAAACATCAATCTACCGTTTTCCCCCTTCTCAAAATGATAGATTACTTTGAATTACAAATGATTTTGTGGCTGCAAGCAACTTTGTTGGACATTTCAAGAACAGCGTTTGAATATTATTTCACATGTAAACTGGCAGCAGGGGGATGCGTCACTGTCTCTCAAAGATTTATTAGTCAGTGCTATGAAATGCGTTGCATCAGCGTGAAATAAAGTCGGCAGGAATTCGACCGCAGAGAGATAAAGCTGGCACATGTGTACTGAAAATGCCTGACATACAGAACATGCTGACCCACAAACGTGACTTTGGTCCAGTCCAGACAAATCAGCGTCAGCATCACACACTCCCGGAGCTGGCTTGTGCTGAGAGGCAGTCGGCCAGTTGGAGAGCTGCACCCAGAACAAAAGCCTCCAGACAAAAGCAGTCACTGACAAACTACAGATAAGGAAGCATTTTAAAAAAATTTCCCCCGATAGCAAAAATAGACGATTATGACTGCAAGATTTAACTGTGTTTAGTCTGGGGTTAAGGTTCTCAAACAGAAAAGAGTGGAATGTTTCCGCTAGAGATGAAGAAGGATTTCAGGAACCTGGGAGTCTTTACCAGTGATGGTAAACTGGAGATGGACCTACAGATTTGGGCTTTGTCTGCAATAATGAGGGCGGCAGCCTGGTCTGTCATGGACAGTGGTGGACAGTAATGGAGTACATTTACTAGAGTACTGTACTTAAGTACATTTTTTGAGTATCTTTACTTTAGTTGAGTAATTATTTTTTGGGGGTACTTATGGCTTTAAATCCACTACATTTCAAAGACAAATATTGTTTTTTTGTTWTGGCAATATTTATTTAACAAAGACAGAAATAYGTGGTCCAAGAATGAAGGTACTCTGTGGGATGATCAGCTGAGTTTTATTGCAACAACAGGAAACACAGAGAACAACCTGGCCTGTCTCTGTGCCTCTGCTTCTCTCTGTCACTGTCTCTCCACACTACTCACTGTGTCTCGAGAGGCCTCATATATATATTAACAAACACCATTATGTCATCTTAGCAAGATTTGATACAAGGTCAATGGAAAACACAAAGATAAACACAAGTGATAACTAAGAATGACTGTTGTTAGCAAATCTTGTTCTGACTTTAATCATTCTAGCTGCAGATGAACAGCATGTCATGAAAACCTAGGTCATTAAAGGATGTCATGAATAACTAGCTTAAACATAAAAGTATTAGTTCCATTTCATTTTTCTTTTTAGAAATGCCACACTATGTTCCTCACAAGGGGAACCAATCACAGTCGTAGCTCACACCTGGGATGGATTTGAAATTATGTCAGCTTCATTAACTGTTGCAAGCTGAGCTCCACCTTCGTTTCAAACAGAACCCAGCAATGGAGACAGTTGAAGAAACTCAAGCAGAGAAACCAGCGCATCCATGGCCATATCTTAGCTCGACGTTTGAGATTTTAGGACAAAAAATAGTTCATATCAGTTTAAACGTCTTATGGGTTCACTACAGATAAACTACATTTCTTGCATTTTCATGCTGAAGTCTTTACAGGTGGTAAATTTGTAGCAGAGTTGCGCTCTTTGTCAAAACATCAGGTGGTTTCTGAGAGTTGCAAGGTTCTGTAAAATCACTCTGAAATCAATACAACAGTGTATTATATAATAAATTATAAATTATAAATATTAGGCACTTTAATTTGTACTTTTGAATACTTAAGTATTTTCAAAAGTAAGTACTTCAGTACTTTAACTTGAGTAGATTTTTGACCGAGTAACTTTTACTTGTAGTTGAGTAGATTTGGCCACGAGTATCAATACTTTTACTCAAGTACTAGAGTTGAGTACTTTGCCCACAACTGGTCATGGAAAAACAAAAGCCGAGCCAAAAGACAAAGCTTTGGATTTATTGTTCCAGATCTCACCTGATGATTGGATCCTGATAATTTTGTAGGTTTTTTAGTAAAACTCACTGAAGGGATTATACAATCCTTTCTGTCTTGGGAATAACTTGGAATCATCCAGGAAGAGCTGAAGAGTGTTGTCAGGGAGAGAAATGTCTGGATATCCCTCTTAAATCAGTTGTCTCCATGACCCAACCATGAATAAGTGACAGAAAATAGAAGGAAGTTTTTAAAGAAATGGTTACACCAATATGAGACTTGAGGTAGTATTGTACAGGGCTGCAAAAATATGAGAAAGAACACAAAGTTTCACTTACACTGACTGAACATTTGCACAAAAATCTGTTGAAATTTGAGCTAAAATTTGCCAAGACTTGTTAGTAATCATCCCGATAGGCTAATTTACCAACATCAGCTTCTCAGGCTAYTAAAGTTTCTTCACATAGGATGAAATCAGCATAGAAGAGCATCAAAAAGTACTTTTACTTGAGTGTAATACAAAAAAATATCCGGTATTTTCCATAATAATGTATTTATATTTTATCTAAGTCACACATGCCACTTCTATGTTGGTTGTCAGATTCAACAGCGTTGTGGAAAAGAGTGGTGACTGAGAACCTATTCTAACACATCTTCCCAGATGACAAAATGCGTAAATAAGATTAAAATATGATTCATTTTCAGAAATGTGTGCAATCCTAATCCTGAAACAAGGACAAAATGAAATCCTCAACATGTTCCCCACTGCTTCAGCCTCTATATAATGTAAAAACCCATTCTGTGCACCTTTTGAATTACTGTGAGAGCAGAATAGGGATAAAACTTAGCTGGTTTTGTATATAGGGTGGAAAAAATACCCAAGGAAAATGGCTCTGTGAATATCTCTGCAAATATCAAAGAGGATTATATCATGTGCAGGATGGGAATAAGCTTGAAATATACAAGGACAGCCACAGTTTGTCATCAGACCAAAAAAACAAACAAAAAAAACAAAAACAAAAACAAACAAAAAAAAACACTGCTAACATCCAGTGGAGAGAAAGCTGTCCTTTTTTCTTTTTATTTTTTACAGGCGTTTTCACAAACAAAACATGAAACTTTGTTAAAATTGTCAAAATGAAACATGTTTATTGTAATGTATATGTGAGGTGTACTGTATCAGTGGGTGAGAACATAAAACCACAAAGAGTCTTTATTAAAGCTCCTGCAGCCCTGTATTTTCTCACTACATTAGCCAGAAGTGGAGCCTGGTGGGGCACACTTAATAATCATCACAGAGATAACATTGTCAATTAGAATATTCATGAGGGACCGAACGAGCGGCTCTCCTCATTCCTCCTTTGCTCTTTTTGGTCTGTCTCTTTGCTGTTTTTCTTTTTTTATTATTTTAGTGTGCGTGTCTGTGTTGGTGATGAGTCACAGCGGGGGCTTTATCTCTTCAGCTGCTTAGTGTAGCATGCACCCCTCCTCCCCATGAAAAACCATTAATCCCAGCACGACGCAAGTAGCGCGGAGGTAGCTCAAGTCGGTTGCTTTTAATCGCAGTTTTCATCATTTTGCAAGTTGCTACACACGTCGTCTTTTCTTTATCTCGTGACGTCAACGACCCGATACGAACTGTAGCCGTCAGCAAACCAGCTGCAACAATGGAAGCAGCTTTTGTGGAGAAAATGGGTTTCTTATTAAAATCTTGTCAGTGGCAGATTGTAGCGTTCAGGGTATTACTGCGTTTGTTTCAGTTTACATAGAAGTCTTTGATTATTTGTATCGAAGACAAGTACGTTTTTTTTTTTTTACCAATTTTAATTCACATAAAACACATGTTCCAGGGCAAATCATGTTTAAAATATTGTGATATCAGTGCCAGTAAATCACATTTTCTTCACGCCTGTYTTTCTGTTCAATCATCTCAACACATTAAAGACGTGCAGTTCCATCTGATTATTAAACATTGTACTTGCACACTTTGTGTCCTTGGTTTATGTAATGCTCTGCCATAGTGATGCTGTGAACACTGAAAACTATATGTATAWATGTTTAGTGCAGCCCTAATGTGCACAAAACTCAACTTTACCATAGGTAACAGTTGACAATAACGTTCCTGGAGTAATTTGATTGTAAATGAAGCATAACATGCCAACCAGATTTATTGCAGATTGGTTAATTTCTACTAGGAACATTTTACAAGCAAAGCCAGTTAAGGACACAGATGTATGCAAGTTGAATTCTAGACAAAATAGTAGGTAAAAAAGTGGCAACCGTGTGCTCTTACATCCTTTAAAAAAACAGCCAAAGTTGGGGTCAGTATTGTCAAAACGCAATTTATAAACTTTTACATTGTTTCCATTTTTACATTACACATAGACTTAAGCAAAATTATTATGATATGCATGTTAGAAGCGTGTCTGTTTGATCAGGTATTACTTCTATTTCTTCAAAGTGAAGTCTTCCAAAAAAGTATCTACAACAGGTAAGATGTTCATTGTTTATTATTTTTCAAAAGAACCCCAACACACACAATCTATTGCTTCAGGTTGGAGCTTTAAAAGAAGTATAAAAACATAATGAAAAAGAAATTTAGTAAAAAAATAAAACACTTGGAAAAACTAAAYTCCAGTTTTGTCTGAAATAAACCTCATTTATGATGTGATCTGGTTGTGASCTTTTAGAGTGCTAATGTTCTTGTGTTAAGGTAAAATATGTTCAATTATTCTTGTCACATTTTGCTTTAAAGGTAGTCTTTCAGAAGACCAATCTTTTAGACTGAAAGTTAAAATAAAACTCTACTAAATTGTACTTTATAACTAAAACCCTCATGGAGACGCTGTATGCATGTTATGGGCTGGAACTGATTATTTGAAACAGATTTAAACTTTTTTTTTGGCTCTTTTACTCTCTACCAGTGGTGGGCGCAGTTCCCCTAAAGCACTAAAGCACTAAAAGGGGAACTCATTTCCTGATTAGTGCTTTAGGGCTTTTGTTATTTTTTAAAATTCATTAGTGGATTAGCACTTGCTAAATTTATGGGCTAAATTCAGAAGCACTAACTGAGGTCTATAAATGTTATTGATCAACATTATTGCTCACAGTTGAGGGTGAAAGCTTTCATACATTTTGTTCATATGCATGTATCTACAAGGTCACGTGTCAAAACTCAAGGCTCATGGGCCAAATGTGGCCTGCTGGTGACTCCCATTTGGCCCGCCAAGGGCACTAAGTGACAGCATTCTGCACACAGTAAATATTGTCTCATGTTGACTTTGAAGAATGCATCAACTGGGTTATTTTAGTGCTTTAGAATTGGCTTTTGCTGCTTTTTTCAGTGTTAGTGGTTTAGAATTAGGGGACCTAAATAGTTGAGTTAGTGCTTTAGGGTTAGTGCAACCTTTACCAATAAATTAGAGATTAACAATTGAATCTTTGGTACCACTTTACAATAAGACTCCCCTTATAGATAGCTTACAAATAGTTTATAGGCAGGTTATTAATTCACCTGTAAACACATTATAAATCATTAATAAATGTTTATATGCATTAATGAAGAACAAAGAGACAAAACTGTCTGGTTTCATGTCAAATAGTGAGTCAAATCTGTTCATGTATTTTTTATAAAGTGCTATATTAAACATTTCACACTAGGTTACTACCTTGTAAACACAATAATGTATTGGAAACACATATATAGAGTAGGTACACTATTTATTATTGATTAATAAATGTGTATAAAGAGAGCCTTGTAAATAAATGTGGGCTTACACTTTACAATAAGGCTCCCTTTGATAATAGTGGATATGTATATTACAGTACAACATTTTGTGTAAAATATGTGTTTCCAATACATTATTGTGTTTACAAGGTAGAAACCTGGTCTAAAATTTTTAATATAGCACCTTAAATGTAATATGTACATCAACAGATTTGGCACATTACTTGGCAAGAATTCAGACAGTTTTGTCTCTTTCTCATTCCTAATTAATAGATATAAACACTTATAAATGATTTATAAAGTGTTTACAGATGAATTAATAACTTATCTWTAAAGTATTTATAAGCCATCTATAAAGGGAGCCTTATTGTAAAGTGGTGCCGAATCTTTTTTTTCTAAATCATAAATATCTCACATTCCTAAAACAATCACAATGAACAGTGACGATGTATTATAAAACTGAAAGGAGAAAAGAGTGGCAACGGATGTGAAAGGTGGAAACGCTGCATATTAGTGATTCCATTAATCCTCCTCCTCCTCCTCCTCCTGCTCCCCCTCCTCCTCCTCTTCATATAAGAGCTGCACTCTGTACTTCGTGTTTAAGAAAAGGCTTTTAAGAGTAGCCCACAATTAGCAGACAAAATGCAAACCTACACACAGGCTGAGTGGGGGGGTTTATTTGTAATGAAAACAGGCAGCTGGTTTTTCAGTGCCTGAAGAAAACAAGGGTGAGTCATCGGCYGTAAGTAGTCAGAATCACTTTGCCTATCATGAGCCCTCGGTCCAGGAGCGCTGGTTCGCTGCTCAAAGTGCCTCATTTGGTTAAGAAAACTAAAAAAATAAAAAAAAGCAAATGAGCGAAAGCGCAGGAAGAATAACAGCCGTGACCATTTGCTGTCTCCAGCAAGAAACAGTGTAATGAAAAGAATAATTATCTGCTGCCTTTTTTTTGGTTTGTGTCATTTTGTTTGAGGCTCTAAATGAAACCAATTGGGGGCAGAATGTACTTGGCAGGCAGCTCAAAGTAATGGATTTGACCCTCTTGTGTTAAATGGAGCCATAATATGATTTTTGTTGATTAGAGAGGAATGGTGCCAAGAAAASACGCAATGTCACAGAATCTCTTTCCAAAAATAAATAAATGAATGAAAGGGGGCACATCACGTACCAAAGTCCACGAGTTTTATCCCTCCTTGTGTCGTCAGCAGGATGTTGTTGCCTTTGACGTCCCGGTGGATGGTCTTGTTGATGTGCAGGTGCTGCAGGCCCTGCGGAAAGACCAGGTTAATGGTATTTTTTGTCGAGCACCTGCCTGTATAATTACACCACTTTAATGGTTTTCATTGCCCCAGTTCATTTGGCACCACCGTCTCCCGCGTGCAGGCTGAGGCCACCGGGCTTACCATGAGAGCTTCGTGCAAAATATACGCAATAATGGCCTCGTCCATTCTGTCTCCTCTCTTCAGCATGCCTTTGGCCAGATCTGTCACCGAGCCGCCRTTGCAGAGCTGCGACAGACAAATCCACAAAGACAATAAAACAGTTGGTAAAGATTCAACATGAGCTAAAATAAATGTCTAATCCAGCATATTAAACAGGCAGAATTTTTATARAAAAAAGCCAGTAAAGGATGAAATCAGACGATTTCAGTCAGAAAAAGGAAGCTGAAAGTAATTCTGTCAGTCTTTAGAGGTTTATCTTTCACAGTGAGCTAAGAGGGGAAGAATGTGTATTTTTCTTTGCCAGGTTTAAACTAAGCCTTTATGACTAACACACAAGTTGTCCTCAAACACAGAGCATGAAATCAGAGGTTCTTAGTCAATTTTAGAATTTATAAATGATTTTTCAAACCATCTGAACCAGATTCTTACTGCAACAAAAYGCACCAAACAGGCAGCGCCTTTTCCTTTTCAGAACGACAGTTTGTTTTTCTGTGTTTGTAGGTGATTTCTCGTCATCTGCTGCATCCCACAATATGGACACTGCTGTCAATATATGTCTTTGAGAAAATTACAGAAAATTACCCTGTAGGTTGCCTTGGCAACAATAATAACCCCTAATTTGGGCCTGTCTTCAGGAGATGCTAGAGGTGCTAGACAAATACGAAACCTTGAAAATGTGAGTAGAAACTGTTGGTTTGATGTTTAAATGCTGTCTGTAAACACAAAGCTTCAAAAAATGCTGTGGTGTTCTGTTTGTTCTATTTGTAAAGAAAATATTTTAGTTTCAAGATATATGTTTAATCCTGACATAAAAAACTTTAGTGGCGTATATTTTGTTTCAGTTGGGACACTTTAAATTACATCATCCATCCATCCATCCATCCATCCATCCATCCATCCATCCATCCATCCATCCATCCATCCATCCATTTGCAATTAGCCCTCCCTCTCCAAGGTTTTGACAATCCTGCAGAGAAAACTAGTCCCATCAGCACATTCTGGGTCTGCACCAAGACCATCCTCAGGTAAACCATACCTTCAAAATCTACTTTGGAAAACCTGTACAAGGCATCCAGATCAGATCATAAATCAACTGTCGATTTCACATAAAAAAAAGCAGAAACTTTGAGTTGACTGAGTCCTCCTATCTGTGGCACATCAGGCTAATGGCTCAATTTCCTGTGTGCTACCTCAGGAAAAGGACCAGGTGAAGCTGTTGATTTACTAATCCATCTTTGTTCATCTCCTATCTATGGTCGAAAGCGACTCGTGGTGGCCAAAATAAATGAATGAAAAAACAAGAAATCAAAATACGATTGATTGGTCACTCCTTTTTTAAAATGTGCATCTTKTTGTTCCATTCCAGATGTGCTGAGTCTCATCTCTGTAAAGTTACGCTGCCCTGATTAGACCATTTTTATTTGAACTTGTGTATTCTTTTAAAATGCCCTGCTTCTACCTGCTGTACATTTTTGATAACTGTACAAAACCTAAATACTCTCTACAAACTTTTAGATGACTTTGTTCTGCAGTGATGACTGCTCAGCAGATTCTGAAACTGCTTCTTATCATAAATGGGCCTTGGATAACATCTATATGCTGAGTAGAAAATGTGTCATTTGCCTGTATTCAAGCACATACAGTAAGTACACTCACCAGCCACTTTATTTGGTGCACCTGTCCAACTGCTCATTAACACAAATGTCATATCAGCCAATCACATGGCAGCAACTCAACACATTTAGGCATGCAGACATGGCCAAGAAGATCTGCTGCAGTTCAAACCGAGCATCAGTATGGGAAAGAAAGGTGATTTGAGTGCCTTTGAACGTGTCATGGTTGTTGGTGCCAGACGGGCTGGTCTGAGTATTTCAGAAACTGCTGATCTACTGGGATTTTAACCCACAACCAACTCTAGGGTTTACAGAGAATTGTCAGAAAAAGAGAAAATATCCAGTGAGCGGCAGTTCTGTGGGCGCAAATGCCTTGTTGATGCCAGAGGTCAGAGGAGAATGACCAGATTGGTTGGAGCTGATAGAACAGCAACAGTAACTCAAATAACCACTCCTTACAACCGAGGTTTGCAGAAGAGCATCTCTGAACACACAACACATCGAACCTTGAGGTGGATGGGCTTCAGCAGTAGAAGACCACACCTAATGCCAGTCCTGTCAGCTAAGAACAGGACACTGAGGCTACAGTTCACACAGGYTCACCAAAACTGGACAATAGAAGGTTGGAAAAATGTTGCCTGGTCCGATGAGTCTGGATTTCTGCAACAACATTCGGATGGTAGGGTCAGAATTTGGTGTCAACAACATGAAAGCATGGATCCATTCTGCCTTATATCAACGGTTCAGGCTGGTGGTGGTGGTGCGATGATGTGTGGGATATTTTCCTGGCACACTTTGGGCCCAGTAGTACCAATTGAGCATCGTGTCAATGCCACAGCCTATCTGAGTATTGTTGTTGACCATGTCCATCCCTTTATGACCACAGTGTACCCATCTTCTGATGGCTACTTCCAGCATGATAATGCTCCATGTCATAAAGCTGGAATCATCTCAGACTGGTTTCTTGAACATGACAATGAGTTCACTGTACTCAAATGGCCTCCACAGTCACCAGTTCTCAATCCAATAGAGCACCTTTGGGATGTGGTGGAACGGGAGATTCACATGGATGTGCAGCTGACAAATCTGCAGCAACTGCATGATGCCATCATGTCAATATGGACCAAAATCTCTGAGGAATGCTTCCAGTATCTGGTTGAGTCTGTGTCATGAAGGATTAAGGCAGTTCTGAAGGCAAAAGTGGGTCCAACCTGGTACTAGCAAGGTGTACCTAATAAAGTGGCCATTGAGTGTAGATTTATTTATCAAGTTTAAAAAAAAACCTCTGCTGCCATGTTATTTGGGAATTTTGGGCAAGTTCATATTTTAGTACAAAAATAATTCTAACTAGTTTTTAGTAAAACACATCAAATCTTAACTGTGCTGCAGTTCTACGAGTTTCCACAAGTTYCTCTATAAGGTTGACAAAACTCACATTTCAAACTGTTATCCTGTTGAGCAAAGCAGAAAAAGTTTAACACATTGGAGGAGGGATATAAGAGTCAGAGGCTTCTCAAATTTTGTTTCTTGTACGGTCTCCCAAGGTAAATTGTTACAGCACAGACCCAGGAAGTCAACACTTCATCACAGGCAAATCAGAAAGCTTAGATTTCTTCTGCAGATTTGAAAGCCGGGGCCATCTGCTCACTTCAAGTGCCTGAACATCAGAAYTTTAGCAGTCCAGCTAACTACAGCCCAGTTGTTCTGCATGTGGCCCCTGAAGGAGGCACCATAAAGGTATTATGTGTTGAGGACTGTAAGGTGCCCTTGAAAGGTTGAACTTTGGCTGCTGAAACTTGCCATAGGAACACTATTTTCCCCCTCTGTAAAAGGAAAGGCTAATTAGTCTATAATTATACAGGTTGTGTGGTTGCACAGGATATAAATTAGTTCCCTGCAGCAAAAGACTTTTTTCATGAATAACCCCCATATAGCTCAGTGTCAATTCAACTCCAACACATTTYTATGCACATTCAAACTGAATAGGAATTGCACACAAAGACAAATCATGAGCCTTACAATTCAATATTTATCCATCTAATGRTTAGGAAAGAGCATGTTTATCCTCAACATGAGGCATTTTTAAAGAAATGATGCAGCTGTTTTCYATATTTGGCTTATTAAACAGCTTCCTCATAAAAAAGTGATGCRATGTAGGTTTCTAGCATCGTCACAAACATACAATAGAGTCGCAAGAAAATATTTTTTGAAGAGAAARTTATTTTGTCACACAAGTACTACCCGCAGTGCTTCAAGAACATCTACAATAGGAAGCCATAACCTCTACCTGTAAAACCCACAGTTGATGCATTTAAATTGTAAACTCGTGACTAATTAGCAAAAGGTCAGTGTTGAAAATCTCAAAAACAAAAAGTTTTAGCATTTTTGCAAGAAATATCCTTAAATTAGGACTTAATCATGCCTCTGTGAAAAATACTATTAAAAAGTTYAAAATTAAACAAATAGTTTCGGGGCTTGAATTTAAGTCATTCATTCCTTTAAATATGGAAGTAACTTGTTCTTAACATMCAGACACTTYAAGAGCATGCTCTTAACTCTTCATTRTTTTTATTTATTTATTTTACAGGGCCACATTTAGACAAGAGAGACCAAAACATGCAAACATCACATGGATTGTCCTGAGCTGGGAGTCAAACCTACAACCTTCTTGCTGCAAAGCAACAGTACTGACAAGCAGTGYGACTGTGTGGCCCAAGTTTGAACCCACATTTGGAGCTTTAATGATCCATAAAACAATAACTTAGATAGTGCTTTATGTAATTATCAAAATCATTAGCAGCATTCATTGTTTTAAGTAGCATTTATTTTTGTCCTCTTCTCCCTTTGATTATTTAACTTTAAATTCAGATACTTCTTCTCCAAACCTGTCAGCCCAGGAAAACACAATAAGTAGGGCTGTCAAATGATTAAAATTTTTAATCTATTAATACCAAGGTAGCTGTGAATTAATCACGATTAATCTTAAACTTAATCTAAAACTTTATTGCATATTGGTAAAATTAATTACCTGAGTTAATTATTAATGTTTTTATTTTGAAAAAAAAAATTGGTGCTTAAGAAATACATACAATAATAAATCATGAAAATATCATCTCAACTGCACAAAAACAACAAAAACCAGGACCTAAAAATGCCCCAAACATATTTGAGTCAGTTAAATTTTGTGCAGAATAATGGGTAAATCGAGAATTCAAGRATTTTCCTTCCAAATGTGTACTTACTTAAAACTTATTATTAATAAGTTTTAAAATACTAGAAAAACACACTTGTTTGTACTGGGTTGTCATTATATAAAGAAAATGAATATGATTTTCACAGTTTAAAATTCACTATGTATTAGTCTTTAAAATAGTTTTGTCTCTTTACAAAATCCTTAGTTTACCTTTTTGTTCCATTTGGTCTCTTTGTCACTCCCATCATCGTTATCTTCAG